TTGCTATTATCCTTTGTAACTTAGTATAAAAATAAATATAAGAATCTGCAGCTTAATATGGAAAATTAAAAGGAAAATTGAGATTTCCAGTCCACACTGAAGAGAAGTAGAAATATGGACAATGATAAAAGACCAATCCAAACTCATTGCTTTCAAGTAGATTCTGACTCCTACCGACCCTCATTGGGTTTCTGAGTCTGTAAATCTTTATGGAAGCTAACTGCTCCACCTTTCTTTCATGAAGTAGCTGGTGGGTTCAAACCACCAACCTTTTGGTTACCGGACAAATGCCTTAACCACTACACCACCAGAGCTCCTTAATGAACATGATGCTGGAAGCCAATTAGATGATTCTCTAGAGATAGATGAGTATGATGTCTGCTGGGAGATTTTGAGAGTCCCTGCTTCCAGGCCACCCAAAAGTTCATTCTTTTTCCTGATGGGCACCCTGTCTACTTTTCTCTGTTTTTAAAAAGAAGATGGTTGGCAAGAGAGGAACAGTACTCAGCCTCAAGGAATGAATCTAACACATATCCCTCCAAAGAGCTAGCTCTTATCACAAAATGTATTTTTTTTCTTTCATTTTTTTCATATTGTAAAAGTGGTGTTTATGTCATAAAGAAATTGAAAATAGAGAAAAGACAAAACAAAAAAAAAGCAAGAAAGAAGCAGCAGCAGCATAATCCCTATACAATGGGGGTCACTAGGAGTCAGAATGGACTCGATGGTAGTGATTTTGGAGTTACTATGATGTTAGTGACTTAATGTACTGCCAACCCCAGGGCATGAAAAACTTAAGGAAAAAAAAAGGTAAGTGGCAAGGAAAAGACAATGTTTCATCCAGTGAAATAAATATCTTACCAAAGAATGTCAGGCACTGTGGTAACTGGTGATAGAAAGACATTTTGAAGACTGAAGAGGTTCTCCATGGATCTCTTAACTGACAGTACAATCACGCGTGCTCACCATTCTCTAGAAAACATTCCAATATCGGATCAAATGTTTCCATTTGCCTCAAAAAATAATGCAAAATAATACTCACATGATCCTTTATTTTCATTTTGAAATATGCAATTGTAGATGATAATTAGAAGAAATCTGGGACAGGACTGGCCCTAGATGTGGGATTCATTATCATTATTTCTTCCAGACAAGGAGAGATTAATGGGCTTGCTGACAGGCACTGGGCCAATGTCTGAAGCAATTACATCTCAGCCTCTGCCTGTCACCTTGGTGTTTTCTGTTTTCTGACACCATTGTGGCCGATAAATATCAAAGTGGAGACAGAGAGCATGTTGTAATTTTGCATAGCAAGAGAATGTGGTTCTGAAAAATTAAGTGTTCTGACTGGTAGAGAGTTATCATAAGTGGAGTACAATAAAGTACATGTACTGCCATCAAAACTATAATTCAGTCTCTCTAGTGGTCAGAGAACCTTGGAAATGGTGCAGAATCTGAGTTGTAGTGATGACGCCAGGGTAGAGATTTAGGGAGTGTTATTAAATAGAGGGTTTGGACACCAACTTAAATCATTTTAGGAGAGCTGTAATGTATAGGATTGATACAGAATATGAGAAAAGCATGAAGCCTACATTTGAAGACAGAGTCGCTCATTGATTCCCGTATAATTGAGTACCTAATATGAACAGTCGGAAACCCAAGGAGGGGTCGCTATGAGTTGGGCTGACTCGACTGCAAACAACAACAATATGAACAGACACTGGGGAGACAGACCCAGGCTCAGAGGCCCACCTATTCCCAGGATTCAAGAGGGTCAGAGAAGCATTTTTTAGCCACAGGTCCTGGATCCACTCTCACATTTTTAAATGAGAAAAAAAAAAAAAATTACAAAGAGAAGGCTATAAGATTATGCAGTGTGAAAAGAGATGGGCTTTGGGGCCCATCTGCCAAAGATTAAACCTGATCCTGACATGTACAGCTATGTGACTATGGACGAACTTAATTAACTTTTCTGTGCCTCAGTTTAAGGAGCTCTGGTGGCACATTGGTTAGAGTGTTCAGCTGCTAACCAAAAGGTTGGCAGTTCACACTCACTAGCCACTCAGTGGAAAAAAAATATGTGGCAGTCTTTGTTCTAAAGATTTACAGCCCTGCAAACTCTATGGGGCAGTTCTACTCTGTCCTATAGGCTTGCTGTGAGTTGGAAACAACTATATGGCAGTGAGTTTGGGTGCCTCAGTTTCTTCATCTGTAAACTGAAGATGATAGTAGATACAATCTCATAGGGTTGTACTGAAGATTAAAGTTAATATGTATAGAGCCCTTCCAAACTCCCTTAGGTCAGGAAATTGTGTACACTTATACTGTTGTTGTTGTTGTCATGTGCCATTGAGTTGGCCCGGACTCATAGCGACCCCTCCTTGGGTTTCCGAGGCAGTTATCACTATGGAAGGAGATTGCCCCATCTTCCTTCCAAGGAGTGCCTGGTGGGTTTGAACCGCCAGCCTTCTGGTTAGCAGTCAAGTGGCTTAGGCACCACACCACCAGAGCTCCCACACTTATATTAGTAACCTGTTATTAAAACTGCTATTAAAACTGAGGCTCTGAGTGAACTTTACGTTATCTGTCATCAGTGATTTGGGAATTTTGAACAGTAGCATTCCGGGTTCCTGAATCCTAGTGAATTGCTGAGCATTAAAAGACATAACTTCAAAGGTCCAAAGAAACTTCCCTTACATAAACACACACACACACACACACGTACACATGCACATATGCATATTCACACACTAGAAATATTTCCTACTCAAAGAAAATAATCCTTTTTTTTTGCAGGAAAAAAGTCTATAATTCTTCAATTAGGGGAAAAAAGAAAGCAGTGTAGCTTGTATAAGGTAAATACGTTGGCAAATTCATTCACACTAATGTGTAAATGACTAATACCCAAGATTTTCCTGTGAGTGAGATTTATCAAAAGGATTCTGAGCATAGTACCACTTATTGGAGAAACAATGTGTAAACATGTGGTTAAAGATGCTAAAACCCCACTTCACAATTGTACAGCAAATGAGCTCCCTGACACACTGAGTCTCAGAGTACAGGCTGCTGTTTTCAGAACACCCGGGCCACATTTTCTTGGGCCACACTTATACCTGTCTGGTGTTGACAGTCAAGGAACTATCCCTTGTGGGCCCCAACAAAGAGAACATATTACCAATGTGTTACATCTTTGCCTAAAGGTCCAGTAATAAAGGGCACTCTCAACAGGGGAGTGCAGTTGGTCAAGTTTATCTTCTAATCCAAGACTCTTTCACTTCCTAACTATCTCCTCCCGAATCCTGCCCCACTTTGGTGTTTATTCTTTCTGCTCTGCCATTTGGTTCCCAGCTCCTGTTGCTCTTGTCCCTTTGTCACCCTGTTAAAACCTGCTATAGGGATAAACTACATGTCAGTCATTCATTCACTTTGTCAGACAGTACAAATCAGCTTATCTTCATCTGGCTCTCTAGTTGAAGAATGAAAGTTTTGTTCCCTTTTGAGAGGTTTTTTTGCAAGAGATTTCTTTGGAAGTGAGAAAACCTTGGGTGAAGTTGGGTGATGGGGAATGCTTCCCAAGCATATTAGTTTCTTAGGGCTGCTGTAACAAAGCACTACAAACTAGGTGGCTTAAAATCAGGGAAATTTATTCTCTCACAACTCTGGAGACCAGAAGTTTGAAATCAAGCTGTCAACAGGACCATGCCCTCTCTGAAGACTCTTGGAAAAATTCCTTCCTTGCTTATTCCTAGCTTCTGGTGGTTCCTGGCAATCCTGGTGTTCCTTGGCTTGTAGATGCATCACTACAGTCTCTGCCTCAGACTTCACATGGCTGTCTTTCTTCTGTGTCTCTCTGTCTCTGCATCTCTTCTCTTCTTTTTACTGAGGACACTACTCATATTGGATTGTATACGCCCCACCCTACTCCATTATGGCCTCATGTTAAATGATGACATCTCAAAAGGCCCTATTTCCTAACAAAGTCATATTCACAGGGACTAGGACTTCAACATATCTTTTCAACATATCTTTCTTGGGGGATACACTTTAACCCATCTCACCGAGCCTCCTAAAATCAAACCATGCAGGCAGCTGCCTCCTTGGTCAGTCATAAGACTAGTCTGGTCATCAAAGTGCTTGGGAATGTGATTGGTTGGGTTTTCTTTTCTCTCTGGACATTGATTTCTTAATTTACTCTCATACAGCTTCATTAGACTAGACTTTCCTCCAAGAGAACAGTGTGAAATGGTGGAATGAGCATTTAATTGGAGTCAGACTTGGGATTAAAAAAAAGTCATGTCTGCAACTATCTAGTTTGGTAAGATGTTTAAGCTCTGTCTGAGCCTGTTTCCTAACCTGTAAAAAAGGAGTACTTACTCATTTTCCAGAGTTTTTGCGAGGACTAAATGGAATCACCTATGGGGAAGCACTTAGTTCAAGCATTACTAACTTTTGTAGGTTTCGAGTTTACAATATTATCCTAGCCAACATGCATCACCGTTTCTTACTAGTCCCTTAACTATTCCTTATAATAAATCCTACTTCCCTAGCTCAACAACATAAAACTTTAGTTAGATTTCCATTCATTATAACTTTTTGAAACCAGAGGCACAAAAACCTCTCATGGGGAGATAATAAAATGTATCTTCTTTCATCAGTATAGCAAGGCAGAATTTGTGATCATCATCTGCTTTGAGGCAAAATATTTTTATTACTGTTGCTAATAAGCCAGGCTTTCTGTAAGAACTGCACGGAAGTGATGTAGAAATAGAAGTTCTTTCACCTGAAGGGATGTAAGAAATTAACCTATTGGCAGAAAACATCATTGGCAACAGTTGGTGAGATGAGGACAAAGGCCCCCTCCCCCATGGCCTGTCTCTTTCAAGGCTTACTCAGAAGGTGGAGTACCACTCAAGTGTAGCAGCTCTTATGAGGGGGGCATAAAAGGATGTGACTGCCATTGGCTTTCCTCTTGACATGTGTTGTTTTCTTTTTGTCTCCAGCCCAGCATCAGTGGTGTAGACCTTGATAAGTTCCGGGAGATCCTCTTGCATCACTGTGATGTGAATAAGGATGGAAAAATTCAGAAGTCTGAGCTGGCTTTGTGTCTTGGGCTGAAAATCAGTCCATAATTTCCAGATGGCTTCGCCTTTTGCTCTTGTCATGTTCCTGTGCTTCTGCTGGTAGAATTTTGTCCATGCTCTACTCTTGAGGATGCAATAGGCACACATTCTAACAAAATGGTGTGTTAGCCTAGGACAAGTGAGGGACACTAGAGTTTTCCTTCCAGTGGTGTGGTGTACTCACTGAAAGCCCCCCATGCAATGTCTTATTATGTGTTATTTTCTCCTTGACCCTGGGGCTTTCCTGTGCCCCCACAGACTCAGCTAAACTGTTGGGTCTGTTCTGCTTGCCCTTCCCCAATCACCAGGGAGGTAGTTGAGTCCATTTAAATTGTGCTGTCATTGTGAGCTTTCTGCTGAGTCTGAATGGGGTTAGGTATCTGTGGCTTTCCTGTGACTTCAACAAATAGATTGTGATGTGGAAATAAAGATGCAGCTGGAAACAAAGATGCATTGGCAATTGTTTTTGTGTTGTGATATTTGAAATATCCCCCTCAATGGTTTGACAGGTAAACTAGGTCTCTAACTAAAGGGGTGAGCAAGACAAGTGAAGGTCAATATCCTATTGGAACCCACATCACCAAGCCTTCAGCAGCCCTGGAATGCCCTTGAATGGGGAGCTTCCATGGAAGTAGGAGATCAACTAATCACTTTTACTCATTGGAAGGAAGATACCAGAACACTCATATTGGACTGGACTTTGCTCTGAAATGCTTTATGAGCTTTTATAACCAGGCAAGTAGCAACACAAAGGAAATCTGGAGAAAAATTTATCAAGTAAACCAAACACCTTCTCCCACCCCATCCCTTCCCCTTCCAACAGTTTCCTCAAGCAAATCCTGCCACCACTGAGCATCTTGCATATGTCCTTCAGCACAGAAATTATTTGAAAAAATCTAAACCATAGAAAGAGAGACTTTTGTCAAATATTCACATAACCCACCCACTGCCATCAGGTTGATTCTGACTCATAGTAACCCTACAGGACAGAGCAGAACTGCCCCAGAGGGTTTCCAAGGCTGTAAATTTGCAGGATGGATAGCACCTCAACAAAAAGAAAATGAGAATCCTCACAACTGGACCAATAAGAAGCATCACAATAAATAGAGAAAAGATTGAAGTTGTCAAAGATTTCATATTACTTGGATCCACAATCAATACCAATGAAAGCAGCAATCAAGACATCAAGTGACATATTGCACTGGGAAAATCTGCTGCAAAAGACCTCTTTAAAGTGCTGAAGAGCAAAGATGTCTCTTTGAAGACTAAGGTGCACCTAACCCAAGCTATGATGATTTCAATCTATTCAAATGCATGTGGAAGCTGGACAATGAATAAGGAAGACTGAAGAAGAGTTGGTGCTTTTGAGTTGTGGTTCTGGAAAAGAATATTGAAAGTACCATGGACTGTCAGAAGAACTAACAAATCTGTCCTGGGAGAAGTGCAGCTGGAATGCTCCTTGGAAGAGAGAATGGTCAGACTTCGTCTCACATACTTCAGTCATATTCTCAGAAGGGACCATTCACTGGAAGAGGTTATCATACTTTGTAAAGTGGAGAGTTGGCGAGAAAGGGGAAGACCTTCAATGAGATGGATTGACACAGTGACTGCCATGATGGGCTCAGGTATACCATGGGTTTTGAGGCTTGTGCATGATAGGGCATTATCTCATTCTGTTGTACATATGGTTGGTGAGTGGGAGCTGACTCGATGGCACCTAACAACAACAATAACAACAAAATCTTTATGGAAGCAGACTGCTTCATCTTTCTCCTGTGGTGTGGCTGGTGATTTTGAACCACTGATCTTTGGGTTAGCACTCAAGTGCTTAACCACTGTACCACCAGAGCTCCTTAAATATTAATATACAAAAATGTTTACTTTTTCATAGTAAAAAATTTGGAAACAAGCTGTAAAGATGATGTGGCATCAAAAGTCCTTTAGTTTCACAAAGGGGGAAGATAATTGCCATCAACAGCAGACCAAAGCTGATTACCACAACGTGGAAGAAGGTCAGACAGACCTCCACTCTCCAAACTTTTTTCCATTTCTGACACAAGCCATCCTTCTCAGGGCACACTCTGCTTCTCTGTTGGGTTTGATAGATCATTATAATGGTCACACAGAAATCACAGACTATGCTAATGATTATGAGTTTATTAGGGAAGGAACTAACAGGTTACAATTCAGGATCAGGATCAACTTGGAAATAACTGGAACAACTCAGGATATAATTCTTTGATCAGGACAGCTTCTTCCCAACTGCTGCTGCTGGGCCCTCAGTCTTTGACAGGACCCCTGCTAAGGCCTGGCCTCTGCCTTGCTTAGACAGGTATTACAATGGTCTTTAGCTTTGGTGATAAGTGCCCAAAGGTACCCCACCCGACCAGCAAGGCTCCTGTCCGAAGGCACTCAGCTCTCTTGCTGTATGGATCAATAACCCTGCTGTAGCCATCTTGGTCCATGGGCCAGGAAGCCCACCACACAGTCTCCCCACTGGTGTCCTGGTTCTGCTGCTGCCATTTTTCTGCTGCTGGATTCTGCCCTGCTTGGCACCACTTCTTGCTGATGTTGCAACATCTCTCACTATGTTCGGTGTTATAGCTCCTTCTCTCAGTCTCCTGGGTTTAGGTGGTTCTCAGTGCAGGGTTTCTTGGTCCAAAGTACATGCCCCATTCCCAGCTCTTCTTCTTGATGGTAGTGAGGTCTCCTTTCAACCTCTGGGATTGGGTCTTTTTAAATCTAGAAAGTAGCAAAACTGACTAACCTCCTACAAAGTTTCCATGTACCTTATATGCATAGTCCTACTCCCCCTCAAGGTTCTATGCACCTTATTTACATTAGCAGACTGTCCAATCCCATTGGTGGGCCACAAACACCTTATTAGCATAGTTCCATCCAATCATTTTGTGGGAGTTATAAGATCATCGCTAGGAGGGCCATATAATAGGAAATCACTGCACTGCACAATCAAAATGTCCAAATGGTAAGGAAACGTTAACTTATAAGGAAATGATTAACTAATACTGCATCTATAATATGGAATATTTCCATATTATGCAGTGATGAAAATAATGTTTTCAAAGGAAAAAATAAAATGAGATATTTTATTTGATGACTTCCATGTCTCATCTAGTTCTAAGGTTATAATTCTATTGCATTAATATTTGATTGATTAATAAAATAAGATTTGACATAGAGAATTTTTTTTCAAAACTTCTCACTGATATCTACTATTCCAAGTTTTGTAGTACCTCATTTTAATTAAAAACCTAGAGTCCTCAAAGAAATAGTTCAGTCTTTCATTATATTACACAATCATCTTGCTTTTATAGCAAAAACTTTTTTTAGTGTTTATTCTTCATGTGTTTCTGACAGTACTTGGGAGAAGGAAGAAAATTATTATTTTTTTCTTTTTTTTTAAAAAAATGATGGAACAATTAGTATTATACAACTTGCAAATAATGTGCAGTGGTGTTTTAAGATCACTGAGAATACACACAGGAAATTGCTAAAATTAGTCTGGAATGAATTAGGAAGTATACCCAAAGCAGAGATCAGATTACTGAATCTTTAAGAAAGAGTATTTCCATATTTTAGAGACATACTTTAAACAAAGAGGTGGGCCTGTCGTGACTCTATTTCATTATGTCAAGTTATAAGGAAAAACTCCCAACTCTCTGTGGAGACTGACAATAGAAATATGAGAAAGTTGGGGGCACTTGGTAGGGATAGCCTTTAAAACAGCTAAAGCATTTTACTGCATTTCTTCTGATGTGATTTCCCCCATCCTCCATCTTTCTCTTGTCATAAAAATCAATCCATTATATTACTCTTAAAATTGAATTAGTGCTTGGTTAATTGGCTTTCCTGGAACCTAATTAATTTTAAACATTTTCTCAACTCATTTTCTATATGTGAAAATGAAAAAAATGTTGTACCAGAGTTGAGATAATCATGTCCACATTCTGGAATTATAGTCTGTACCTCAAATTCTTCCTTTGATAACTGTGTTTATTAATTTGCTAGAGCATGAGTTGATAAATCTCTTTTCTCCCACCCCAAATTACAGTCAAGGGAACATGTTCTCTTTCTTCTTGCAGTCTTACAGTCACAAAAGAGAGAGAGAGAGAGAGAGAGAGGGAGAGAGAGAGATTCAATAACCAATGGCTGTTCTGCCACCTAGTGCCCACCTATTATCAAAAACCAAAAAACCAAACTCACTGCCATCAAGTCAATTCCAACTCATAGCAACCCCATTGGGTTTCCAAGGCTGTAAATCTTTATGGAAGCAGAATGCCCCATCTTTCTTCTGTGGAGCAGCTGATAGGTTTGAACCATCAACCTTGTGGTTAGCATTCAAATGCCTTAACCAGTACACCACCAGAGCTATTATCAGTAATATTAAGAAAAAACTCACAATCATGAAAATATACTTTATTACTCGGAATCAATAGAATCAAAGTAAGCTCTTTGGCACCACATAACTTGAGAGATTCTATGATTCCCCTCCTTGTAACAATGAATTTCTGTTAAGAGTGATGGAAAATATCAGTAATGGTTAAGGGTGATGATTGAACAACATGGTGAACATAATTAATGTCACTAAACTGTACAATGAAGATTGCTGAAATTGCAAAAGTTTTGTTACTTATATTTTTAACACATACACACAGAAATAATCTTGCACTAGCCAAAACCCAAGCCAAAACTTCCTTAACAATATTCACCTTGCCACAATGATATCCATGTGACTGGTATTAAAATAAGGAGCTCTGTTGGTGGAGTGGTTAAGGCATTTGGCTACTAACCAAAAAGGTTGGTGGTTTGAACTCACCAGCTACTCCACAGGAGAAGGATTAGACAATCTACTTCCATAAAGATTTACAGCCTTGGAAACCCAATGGGGTTGCTATGAGTTGGAATCAACTCAATGGCAGTGAGTGAATTTGGTATTAAAATGGACAGTTTTGTTTTTTTGTGTTTCCGGTGGACTTTGAGGATTATAGGATGCATTACAGATGTGACAGAAGACAAATTTTTAGTATTCATTTAACGTATTTAATACATATTCATGTGTCATTTAATAAACACAATAGACCATCACTTTTTCAGGTGATCAGCATAT